CCTCACATCCCTATTACTCTGTCATCCACCCTACTAAGGTCCCATGTCCTAGAACAATTGTCCCCTCACAGAAACTTCTTTGCTTCTTGTAGTAGATTGTTATTAAAAGGCCCCTATGAGCCAAATGTGGTGGCACACTCCTGTAATCTCAGTCAGCAGTCTGAGAGGCTGCAGGAAAATTGTAAGTTTGAGCCCAGCCTGGGCAATTTAGCAACAAAGGAAGACCCTGTCTTAAAATTTTAAAAATGGGGGGCTGGGGATTTAGCTCAGTGGCACCATGTCTGCCTTGCAAGTGCAAGGTCCTGAATTTGATCCCCGGTATCAAAAAAAATTTTTTTAATGTTTTAAAAGGTTTGGGGATTATACCTCAGTGTGAAGACCTTGGGTTCAATCCCCAACAGCAAAATGAATAAATAAATAACCCTAATGAATCACATGTGCCTGGGATTACTGGCAATCTTTGGTGAAATAGGGAGCCAATTTGCCCTGGATTTTCCCCAAGAGACCCACAGGGTGGATTATTCTAATAGCCTCCTATGTTGGTTAGGGTTCTCTAGAGGAATAGAATCAATAGAAAAATATATATAATTATCCAAAGGGATTTCAGCAGTTAGGCTTACAGGATCAGAAGCAATGAGTCAGCAAGAGCCACATGTGTGCTGGAGAGCTGGAGGATCCAGGAGCAGCTCAGCCCAGAAGAAGAACCCAGAAGAGAAGAAAGATCAAAAAAGAAGGGTCAGTCTGAGATCGAACACCTGGAAAATCCCTGAAGAGTCGCTGGAATGAGTGTGCATTAGAAGGCTGAAGACACTGGAGCCTGGTGTCCACCGGCAGCAGTAGCAGCAAAAGATGCACCTGCTCATGCAGAATGTAGCTTTAAAAAAATTCACACCAACTTCTTTTTTCTTTCCTTTGTATTCTACCCAAGCTGCAAGTCTACTGAATGGTGCCACTCATAATCATGGTGGCCCACAGTTTCTGGCCCATGTGCCAATCTCTGGAAACACCCCCAAGAGATACATGTCACCAGGTCACAGGCTGATCACCCTGGGGAATGGTGCCATACAGGGACTCAGTTTTGGTCTCTGCTACTGCCAGATTGGGCATTCAGCAATGGCTGTGGCCAAGTCAGCCTTGGGGAGTGGAAGTTTGTGTTGCTGAGCCCATTTATAACCTCCATCCTTGTCACCATGGCCAGTTTGTTCATGAGCCCACTGGGCAATGACGGGTGGCTGAGGAAAGACATTGACCTCTAACCACAGAACTGGTCATCCTATCTACTTGATTCCTAAAGTCCTCTTCTGCTGAGGTCACCTTTTGGTGAGCAGATAGCTTCATCTACTTCACCCTTAAGGAGTGGTCTACTTACATACCTGTTCCCCAAATGTTTTTGTTACCAATTTTCTAGTCATTTCCTTCCAAGCCCCTGATCATCCAGCCAGACCATTGGCGACAGCACATGAATTGGTATAGAGTCACACTTCTGGGCCACTTTTTTCCCCAAGGAAACTGTAAGGCCAGTCACACTGCTTGTTCTCCCCGTTATGAAGATTTCTCTTCAACTCTGGATAAAAGGCTGGGTCCCTGCTCTCCTGATACATGGATGACAAGTATAGATGTGAAGGAGGCAGAGCACTCCATATTTCCTTCCAGGCCAGGTTTGGTCCTGACAAGTGCATACCCATATCTGTGCATGACCTAAATAAAACAGGACAACAAGTAAGGGTAGTATTAGGATGCTGACTGCAAATCAATTCTTATGATCAGAAAGAATCTAGATTGTATTCTGGGCATAGCATGACTGCATGGCTCTGGCCCTGGGCAAGCTGTGTGTGGGGAGGGTGAGGAGCTCCTGAGAAGAACCCAGTTCTCTCTGAGGGTGAGCAAAGACCAGAGCATTTGTCCTCTCAGAAGAACACCCACAGTGAAATTATGTTCCCACAAGAACAATGTCTTAGTTACCTTTCTTATTGCTGAGGCAAATTACCCAACACCCAAAGTTAGAGAGGAAAGGTTTATTTAGCTCACAGTTCATAGAGGTTTCAGTCCATAATTGGCTGTCTCCAAGGCAGGGTGGATGGCAGACGGGCATCATAGAGGAGAAACAACATGGTGCATACAAGGGAGCAAAAGCAACAAGGGATCTTAACAGTGTCTTTCTTACCCTTATATTGTACCCAGGCTACCTAATCCCTATCCAGGGATTACTGTGGTGCCAAGCCAATCAGTGTACTGATTTAGTAATCACACATCCTTAATCCCAGCATAACACTCCAGATTCAGCCCTTTCTGAAAAAGCCCCATCTAAAACTGCATGAGGATTTTTGGGGGGGACATCTAGACACAAACCATAACAAACAAGAAAGCACAAATTGCAATAAACTACCAAATGGTTCAGGACATAATAGAAACTGAGAAACAAAGGACAGGTAAAACAATGCAAGTAAATAAATAATAAGAGAAGGATGAGTCCAAATTAATTCAAAGCTGTTATCATTTCTCTGGCTTGCATAGCTCATGCAGTTATTCAGCAAAGTGCACTTTGTGTTTTCTCTCCCCACTTCAGGGAGAGTTGAGATTCCAGGAAGAGAATGATAACAATGCAGGGTTCCTTGTGCTGATGGAGTGGAGAATTCCAAGGCACAATGCCCTAAAACTAAATTCCTCCTTAACCAGTGACTTGCTGCACAATTGTGAGCAAGTTATTCAACTTCCCTGAGCTCAAGTTTCCTTGCCTATTACAACTGAAATAATAATACTTCCCCTGGATTGCTTTAAAGATTTAATGAAATAGGGGCAGGGATTTAGCTCAGTGGTGCCGCTGCCTGCCTCACAACCGCAAGGTCCGAAGTTCGATCTGCCCAAAAAGGATTTAGTGAAATACATATGACCTTTTTTTGGTACTACTAGGTATTGAACACAGGTACTTCACACTGAGCTACATCTCTAGCCCCTCTCCCCCCGTTTTGAGACAGGGCTTTCTGTTTTTTTTCTCTTTCTTTCCTTTCCTTTTCCTTCCTTCCTTCCTTCCTTTCTTCCTTCCTTCCTCTCTCTCTCTCTCTCTCTCTCCTTTCCTGTGCCAAAAGTTTATCTGAAAAGTGAGGGGCTGGGGGCGGGGATAAATACATAAAAAGAAAAGTGAGGGGTGAAGGGATAAGGGAAAAAGAGAGAAAGTGGCTCTGCAGAGCAAACTTGGGCCAAACAAAAGAGGAAAAGAATAAAAGAGCAAAAATAAAAGTACACCCTCATCTGGAAGACACAGTGTGGGATACTGTGAAGAGTGATGATAGCAGGTTCCTTGTGGTGTCCCATGAGACAGGGTCTTTCTAAGTCACTAATTCTCCTAGGCAAGACTCAAACTTGCAATTCTCTTAGCTCAGCCTCCCAGAGTGTTGGGAATACAGTAATGTGTCACCATGTCAGTCTAATAACATATAAACTTAACATAAAGCATTTAGAAGATATTCTGGGGTAGTAAGTAGATGATTAGACTGAACGATGAAAGGGTAAAGTATGGGAGAAAGGAATTATTGAATAAAATGACAGATATATCATTTCAGCACTGATAATAGTGTAACATCACTGAATTCTATTAATGAAGTTTCCATACCAGTACTGGGTCAACCACATTGCACAATCTTATACATTTTCAACCGCATACAAGTAATGAGCATACAAGTAATAACAAAATTAAATGTATTTAAAATTAGAAAGGTGATGTGGCTTCGGAAACTCAAGGGTTGAATTTAACTGGGATTTTAAGATTTCTCTCTTTGGCATAAGTATGACAACTGTAAAACAAGGCAATCATTTAAAATTTTTAAGAAAAAAAGTTACTATGTAGGATTGAAATATTTTTGCTTCTTGGTTTCTAAAATTAACTGTAATTCCTATAGCAAGTCTGGGCATTCTTTTTATTGTGTAAAATATATATGTCCTAAAATTAATCATTTTAACCATTTTGAAGTGTAACTGTTCTGTGGTATGAAGTACATTTACACTGTTCTGCATCAAAATATTCTCATGTTACCAAGATGAAACTATCAGTAAACACTAACTCCGCATTCCTCCCTGCTCCACTTGCAAGAGACCACTATTCTCTCTTCTGTCTTTATGAATTTGACTACATACTTCATGTAACTGGAATCAGACAGTATTTATCCTTTCATGACGTATTTCTACTTTGCATAATGCCTTCAAAGTTCATCCATATTGTACCATGTGTCAGAAATTCCTTTCTAAGAAATTAAGGCTAAATATTCCATTAGTATACATGTACTTTAAAAAAATCTATTCATCTGTAGATGGACACTTGGGCTGCTTCTACCTTTTGGTTATTGTGA